TTTGTTCTAGCTAAAGAGATTTGGTAGAATTTGCTAATCAACTGCAACCACTTCCCACCCATAAAACTGATGCAAATAAGGGGGAAAAAAAACAGCTAGAGGGATGAGGGATCCAAAGACATAAACACTTATAACTCTAAAGAGAAATCCCTCTCTCTCTCCATATGGCTTTCTCTTGGCTCTTAATCATTTTTTCATTGGCTTCCAGCTGGCTGTCTCACTGTCAAGACCAACTTGTTATGCCAAAGTCAGGCTCAGAAAGATGAGAGCTGCAGAGTGACATGACTGGATGCAGCAGTCTTTACTAGGGGCAAGTCTAGCATAAAGGATGCATAGCAGGGTCACTTCACTTGCCTCAGCAAAGCAGCCACTGCTGTGTTCCCAAAACACAGCAGCAGGTCTATGTTCACACTTTTTAGTAGTGGGAGCAAAGAACAACTACTACAATTGAAGCTACGGGGAAATTCTGYAGGCACAAGTGCAATTACCTGAGTGGGAATTCTGGCAGAAAACCCAGACCTCTTTCTCTCCTTAAATAGAAACAAAGACTGTGCAGTCACCATGGAGAGATTACGTACCTCATTTGGATCACATACAGCAGTGAAATACAACACACACAAGAGAGCCAGCCATGGAGCGGGTTTAGCAAAGCACAACCAAGTCAGGTCTCCACTGACTACAGACACCCTTTTAGCCATCACCCCACTCCTACAAATATTAAGCTATGCATCAAAATTCAGACTCTGCATTAAAGGTCAGCTCTGCAAGTTATTTAGTCCATCTGGGAGTACATGGAGCCTGACATGACATGAACAAGATAAAGATGGAAGCACTCACAAATCGATCTACCACCACCCAGGTAAGATTTCAAGTTGAGAATAGAAGAAAACCACAGGGAAAGAAACATATAGCACCTGTGTATGAAAGCCTACTTGGATTCAGCTAAGCAGTCATTGAAGTGCAGTTCTTGTACAATCTATAGAGTCTTTAACTTCAGCTGCAAAAATTCTTAGTTTTGGTCCATGTCCAACATATCTGGTTTCCAGTCACCATATGCATCCAAGCCCACCTCCTCATCTCTCTATCCCTTCCTTCTGCCCATTCCACAAGCCAGCTCATTTTTTGCCTACTGCCCCACCAGCCTCCAGATTCAATCCCAGCTGCAGCCCCCCTTTCCTGTGGTGGATATTTCCCTTCCACTCCATCACCCATGTCTTCAGCAGACAGTTTCCTCCTTGAGGTGTGGCAGCACCCCAGGGGGACTCATCAGAGCACAGGGAAGATGGGCACCCTTTTCCCTCTTCAGGCACAGTATGGGCTGCCATCTTGCCGTCTTTCTGGCTTCAAACTCCCCCATAAATGACTGCTTACGCTCAYTAGTTGTCAGGGCAGCTCCTCTTTAGCCATCTGACTATTTTGTTCTGTTTCCAAAGAGAAATATGGCGGAGTCCCTGAAAAATCCACCATAGATYTCTGTGGTTCAAAGTCAGCAGGACTCTTACCAGACTAAAAATGTCAGAAATTTGCCTCTCCCCTTCAAATCAGCCAAGCTTTGCTTTGTTAATAACTGCAGTCAGCTTCCAAACCTCAGGAGAATGCATTTTATCTGCATACATGTCAGGGTGGTGACACTAAATGGGAATCGTACACTTAGCAGGACCAGCAAAGCCTTGCTGTGTATCAGAAGTGCCATTCTATGGACAGCAATTTTCTCGCCTCTCTGCAGCAGCTCACTAATTTAGGTGCGTATGTCAGAGACAGCTGATAAGGTGCCTTGGGTTCCAGGGAAATCGTAACCAAAAGTGTGTATTCTATTGCTGTCTTCATAAGCYGTTGAAACAGGTGGGGSRGTGTTCATKATCCTCTCCGTGAYTCAGCCCTGATAACACCCTCCAGGGAGGGGCTGTCTCTGCYAGTGGGCATCAGGGTGTCCCAGCGTAACTCACCCCATTGTGAGATGCCCTGCCCAGAGGGGAGGAACTGAACAGCCTCACTGTCTATAAGCTGAGGCTTGAACACTCTGAGCAACTATTTCCACTGGATTTCCAGAGGAGAAAAGCTCAGGAATCAACAATGGACCTCAGAGACAGACCAGACCTTTCTTCAGGATTGCCACTTCAACATGACCACATCCATCACTGCAACAAGACTGCAGCCACCATTTAACTGGACTGCTACCACCACCCTGACCAACGCGGTGGCAGGTTGTATTCTGACTTTGCCAGTTTAACACAGTTTAAAACAGTGTTTCTGTATTGTTGCCTTTATTTTAATTTTTCCTATTAAATTGTAGTTGTGACTTGAAGTCTCTCATGACATATTTGTGCAGGGTTAATTCCTCCTCTGGCTTGCTTTCAAACTAGCACATAAGGTCACAGATACTAAGATGTCCKGCCTCCCTTTCCATTTTCCCAAGCATCCTGCAAGCCATCAAAGAGCTTCAGATTTGGAAGTTTTACAAACAACTCTTCTCATTTKAAAATATTCATACATTACAACTTCCTCCACATACCACCAGCAATTATARAAACACCTTTCTGATTTTGTAGTAATTATTCACCCACACGCACATCCCTGTGACTGGCTTTCGTTTTCACTGTCCCAAGASAAGGCATAGATAGACCTGCACTTTTTCCCCCTTCCCACCATTACTTGCCCCTTCACAGCTCCTCTTTCTCTCCAGTTTCCATACTGTGCTTCACCTAGACTCCATTTCATGGGTTTTCTTAAAGGGAAATATCTTCATTTGTATTTATGAAGATCCTCTACTTTTTTCACATGCCACACATCCTGGTGCCTTGACTGTACTGAAACTTGCTTATTTTTAATGTTACGTATTAATGAAAAGCTGCTAAAAGCTGAGAGAAAGGTTTTCCTATCGTCAGCATCAGCATGAGAGCAGTCTGCTCTTGAAAGCCTGTAGCTCTGATTGTTCAAAAACATTCTGTGCACCATGTCAACTTGATCGTGTGCGTCAAATAGTAAAAATTCAGGATCTGAGTGCATAAATCCTGTTGAGATCCGAGAAAGTTCTTTACCATTAATATTAATGAGGGCAGATTTCATGCCACTTGTTAAATTCCATGTACTCTTATTTCTTCAGACTATCACTTGTCTTGTCTTTTATGTGCCAATAATCAATTTCTAAAGCATAAATCATAAAGCTTACCTAGTTTTTGATTATGCTACAGCCTATGATTTTACATTTATTCAATTTTCTTACTTTGATAAGTGACATTATTTCCATTTTATCATCTTATCTGTGTTAGAGGGAACAAGTAAAAATAACCTCTTTGAAAAGGATTAAAATTTCACCTATTATTTACTTAAAACCAAGTTTTTGAATTGCACCATCACCGTAAGCATTTAATCAGAAATGCAAACAATAAGCTTAACCTGTACAGCCTGTTCTGGTCTACATCAAGGATCAATCACATTTCAGCATTACCACATGTAACCTTCAAACATCTGCTAAAGAGAGGAAACAGAACAGCAACAACAATAAAATACCTACACACCAAAAGGCTGTTTTACTTGCATTCTGGGTGAATTCAGACTGAACACAAGAGTCAGGTCCCTGTTGACCAGGGATGAAAAAAGAACAAGATGTCTTGGAAGACAGCTGTTTCTCAAGAGACAGCAGGTGTTCATTTGAGAGTGCCTTGCAGTGCCAGGATGCTGCACAGTAGGTACAGTCATGCACGTGCTCCAAGCTCAGTAGAGGCACTCGCTGGAGAGAACCTGGAAACCCTAGAGCAACCTTAAAGCAATGTTTTGCACAGTCAAGCAAGCCACACTAGGACAGGCAAGATCACTTTAGGCTCCCTGCCATGTGAATGAGTTTATTCAGCTTTCCAAGCAGACCAGCTGAGGGCTTGGACTGGGGACAAGAGGAATCCAAAAGGCTGCCTGCAGCCCAGAGTGATCACTTAAGCTGGAGTCACACTGTCTCAGTAGTGGGGTTCATTGGATWCTGAAAATCCTTACTATTTAAAAGACATCAGTCATGTAAACATCTCCTTTTCTCATGCATACAGAAAAATTGACAAGTTTTAAAGAAATGTTGCCACTACAAATCAGGGTATGGTTAAAAAGTGACATTCATTTGTTACCAGGGTCTCAGGAATTTAAAGAATAAATTGAAATTGTTATTAACAATTAATCTAAACCCTAACTTGAGCTTTTTCTCCCCTTCAAAAGGTTTTGAATCYTTATGTAATACAAAGAATCTGTTTCATGTAAATATTTGTGGAAAAAAAAATTCTATTTCTTCTAACTATAATGTCAGCACAAGTGACCCARGACATGATCTTCAACTGACAACACTGACTTAACATTTCTCTGCTATCTTTTATASTAACCTCTTGAAAGCATAAACTATGGCTGTTTTTCTCTCTTTTTTAAATCTCTTACAGACATCTACTTCTAAGGATGTGAACGGACTCAAACAGTAACCAATATTGTACAATGATCTCAAAGGATGCTTAAAACACTTTCCTTAGTCACAGCCTGTCCCTGTCTCCTGRTGACATTTTCTCCCATTTAGAAGCTTGCCTTACTGCCTGGAATCCCAGATTTAGAATTGATCTTTTTGAATGGCTAATGGTATTGATGTATACTTAASAAATTCAACCAAACACTGAAATGTGTGTATTTTACACGACAGTACGTTGTTCAGCCAACAGCTTGAGTTCCCACAGGAGCTTCACTAACACTCTGAATGGCCTATAAAGACTTTGTACTCCCAGACCAGCATCCCAGCTCCACAGATAACACACACTTCCCTCTCAGCTTCTGAGAGGAGTGTCTGGACAAAGACAATGATGTCTGTATGCCAGGACTTAAGAAAAAAGCTTTCTGTGGAGTTACTTATTGTAGTAACAGRCCCTGGCAACAGTTAGACTCCATGGTGATAACAAACAGCCAAGCTCTCAAGGAAGGGAATAGGACATTCCTACTCCCTGGATTTGCAGCAAGGAGCAGATGGTTGCCCTTTCACCATGGGCTGCAACATTTCTATCCAGACTGCAGTCACTCAGTTCCCTTCCGAGGGGCTACAGAACAACCAGGGAGTCAAAAGGCAGGTGGCGACTTCTTCCCCACAGACTATGAGGTATGTCAGGAGATGCCTTAGCATGTGAGTGTACAGGGCTGATCTGTGCACACAGAGACACGGTTTTGCTGATGTTAGGGATAGCTCGAGCTCTGTCAGGGAGCACTTAAAGAGAATGACTATCACTCACCTAGCTTAATACAATCCTTCTGCTACAGGGGAAGCAGACTCACCATTTGACCACATGCATGATCAGATCTCACAGCACCTGAAAAGTTACTTTTCACAGTCTCTTTTCACTTGCCTCATCAAAGATAAAATTATAGGCATTTATCTCCCACAGCAGTGATGAATTACAACACTGCAGCAAGGTGGATTTTGCCTCAAAAAGTTATTTTGAGGCAGGGGGCTTGTATATATGCAAATATTATATATGCAAAATATACGTGTGTAGCCACTTTGTGAAACTTAGAGTTGGGTTGGCTCAAGCCCAAACACWGAGAGCAGAGACAAGAATACATCTAGGCTCTAATCCTGCATTATTTGAAGATTCAAAGCTATTCTTTAGAAGATACACAGGTGAACACCTTACCAAGTGCTAATTTAAAACTCAGTTTTAAATTTCTAACCAATGTTTTATACACTGAAGGCACTTAAATTACTGAAACAATGTTCCAGTAGAGTCAACTGGATTACAGACACCTTAAGGCTTAAATTTATTGCTTTGTTTTGAAAACAGAAAATGAAAAATTAATTTTGAAATGGTTCAAGAGACCTTCACTCACCATCCACCTGTGATAGAACACGGATAAGTATATCAGGAATGCTTCTGTCTTCAACTGCACTCTGAACCTCCCAATTCTATGGGACTACTCTAGATAGCCCCTTAAATGTTTAGAAGCCCAAGGAGCTTTTCTCATTTGTTTCTCTATCTTGCTGTAGACCAGAAATGACAGCATTGATAGAACAGTGAGACACTCACAGGTTGGGGCAGCTTGACCAACAGGCACTTGCAGGGTTGGAGCCAAACTTGAAGATGAGACTAGTGAGGAGATCGCCCCCATGGAACCACCATAAAGATTTACATCTTTTCATAAAAGCAGCAATTCCCAAAGCACGAGTAAACAATAACTGAAGTTCATACCAGCTCCACAAACACAGACCCAGGAAGAAACATTCTTGAAGGTCTTGCTACAGCCAGCTTCCATACTCAGAAATGTTCACGCTGTGACATTACACAGACTGAGCTCTTAGCGCTGGTTTAAAACCATGGAAGAGTAGCAGAGCAGCTAATGATTGTGTCCTTCAGCATCACTGAAACCTCAGTATAGGAAGCAGGGTAGAAACTTTTCTTGGCAAATGCCTGAAACAGACCRAGAGAACAAACTTAGCCTTGTCCCCAGGAGTAGCTCTCTGCATCTGGGATTACAGTACATTGGGAAGGGAGATTGCCTAATAGAGGGCTCTCAGTCTGATGTTACAATAAGCCAGTTTTCACAACAGTCAATATAATGCCCTGACTAGCAGCAAGTAGAGAGAGTAAGTAAATACCCTATTATTTATTTACATTTGCAACCAGAAGTTGCAAGGCCAGTTACAATATGAAAAAAAATGATAAAAATTCCATAAATCATCATGACAACAAGCAAAGGTGTGCAAAGAATTTTTTCTTTTTCTTTCAAGTGCATGTGAGCACTTAAACCTGAAAATTTTTCTATAATCTTAGGATACCATTGCAGTAAGAGTTGCTAATGGAAAAGCAGTACCATTTTTTGGTTTATTTAAACCCCTGAATTTCAAAGTATAACTCTTGTGTTTTTCAAGTGCTGTGAACAGCTTCCATGTCACAAACATGCTAAATGGAATATGTAYAGTGGTTGTTTGCTCTTTATAATAAACAGGAGTTGTAATAAAATATTTCAATTGAATACAAGAGGAGTAATTAGTGGTGTTTGCTATTCATTAAACAGAACTTAACTCTCAATGCCACAGAAGGACATAATGAAAGGATTTAATTTAAAATAGAACAAAATTATTTGCTTGCTMTGAAATGGTTTCATTTAATTTTAAGCTCATTTTCCTCCCACTTGCTAGAAGATAACTYCACAGGAAATTTCTAAAAAGAAAGTTTTGAAATCATGCTTCTATCTTCTTTGTCAAGACCAAGAAAAAACATACCATATCAAGATACTTTAAATACATTTTTCTCCTGAATGGATTAGTAAAACCAATACAAATTCACATCACTTCTCAGCGTTGCCCACTCATCCCGCTTTTATTTTTTGCCAGGATGTGTTTTGTTGTATATTGGCTTCTGACATTCGCGTGTTCTGACTGACAGCTGAAGCAACCCCAGTGCTTTTTGGGTAACTGGTTCGGTTATTTTAGGAGCAGTATSGAGTCAGCTGCAGTGTGGTAGATGGTCTGTATTTTTGTTTTACAATTAAAAAATGAGACAACATTGTCATACTCACTCCACTTATGAAGACTGGCACATGTCAAATATCTGCAATTTTGATTTGATCCAAGCATTTTTCATACAAAAGCTCTCACTTCTGCCAGTAGAGACCGGGCAGATGGTAGAACTGCCAGCAGAGGGCTGAAAGACCCGATGGGTCTTGGCCTTCAAGTTGCTTGTTGTTTATGCATGTCTAATATGTGGAAACTAAACAGAAACTCAGAGGAGTTATCAAAATGYTTTTTTAGTCCTAACTGCTGTTTGTAGATATATAATTGTTGAAATGCTTATGATCAAACCCAACTGTAGCAAAGATGTTATAACAAAACTGAAATAAGAAAAGAAAAAAAATAAGTTTGGGTTTATTTAACAGAAGAACATAGTGATCTTTACAATATGGTTCATTAGTAGGCTGTACTATACCATTCCAGCCTGGCTTTCTCCAACCAGACCACAAAACCCTTAAGAATTCAAATTACCAAGGGCTCCTATGGACCCTCTTTGGGAACGTGCTCAAAAACTGGCTTCACAGGTCTTCCACATAAGCTTCCATGCTTTCCTGGATGTGCCTCTCTGGGTGCAACTGGAGTAGGCACCTGCACCATCCTTCAAGGCACTCAGAAGTTTACTGCAAAGTTTAAACAGGGAAGAGAGTCTCCAGCCTTCTCCACTGGACAGTCTTAAACCTGCAACCTCTTCAACAAAAACTCTGGCACTGGAAATAATATCATGAAGCTTTGTTTGAATGCCAAGTGCTGCACATGTATTAAGTTTTAATGTTCACATCTTTTGAAGACACACTGCTCACCAATGAGTTCATCAGCAAATCATYGCCCTTAGAGGAAACAAGAGAGGCAAAAATCATCATTCTTGAAAAGCTGAGGATGCAGGGAATAATCAAGAGCCAAAATACGAGTGCTAGAATTGAGAAGAAGGTGTCCTATGAAACAGGACCCCTGCTACAGCTCTGACTCTCCTGTGAGCACCCTGAGATGCAGCTTCTGCACACACAAAGCATCCAAGCATAATTCTCTAAGACTTTTGAAGCAAGTTGTTAAACAACAGAGAACTGCATTGTAGGGGTGTTAAGATAACAGAAGTTGGCAGTAGTTTCCAGTTGTTTACAGTTTTTGGGCTTGTTTCAAATGTGGACAAAGGAAATAACAGTACTAAAAACTTGCTCTTTGAAAAAACTCACTGGAAGTTGCATGCCAGTAGGGATACAAACTTGTTTCTCAGGGCCATGAAACTAGAAGAAATGCTGCTGTCAGGACTTTTAATTACACTTAAATTMAGACATCAGAAATCCCAAATATTAACACTTCTAAGAAATCTAAAATTCATATTTGATCGCAGACCAAGGAACCATTACAAAATGGATTTTATAATAATTATAGAATTGRTATTTGACTAAGAAGCTAGTGTCCATTTTCTTTGCATTCTGAATGATAACTTGAGGTTTATTTTGGCTTCTCAATTCAAGTTTTTTTCTTTTGTTGTCAGTGTTAAGGACCAGAAGCCTCTTCTAGCTAGGCTTTTGAGTATAGGTGTCAGGAAGGAGAATGTCTGCAGGACATCTCTAAGAAGTTTAATGCATTTATGGATATGTCCAAAGTATGATAACACCACTTCTTGAACACAGGAACAATTCAATCTCAAACCAAGGATGAGTAGCTTTATCATTTGAGGTAGGCCATTCACACATTTTTAACCTCAGAAACTTAGAATTATTGAAAAACCAAAGAGAAACTTCCATATTCTGTGATAAGAGGGACTAAACAAGCAAGGCCCACCTTACATCTGGCCACTGGTGCTGCCTAACACATTTCCTATTGCCACCATTTTGGAAAATGGGGATAGAGGGTCTCCAAGTTCAGTTTCTCTATATCGTTTCCTTACTTTCRTCAGACAGATTTTTGAATACCCAAGCGGATTGTCCCCTCTGTGGCCAAATTTAGRTAACATACTGCAGGCAGGTTTTTGCATTTTCCCCTTCATAAGATAGGCGAGTGTCTGCTCTTTTCTCCTATTGCATGRAAAAGCTGTCTGGGATTAAATTACACAGACTCTTTTATTGACAGAAACTCAGTCTTTGCTATTTCTCCTTAGAGAATTTCTATTCTCCCARCAGGAAGAAGGCACTTTTTTCAGGCTTAAAATGAGTACAGCTTTTAAAATGAACCTCATCTTTTTTGCTAACAAAGCCAACTTTTCCAAGTGCTATTTTACATTTGAGCTGGGCAGCCTACAAGTGAAAACATAAATCTGTCACWAGCTGTTAACTGATAGCTCTCCCTTAGCAGCAATAGAAAACAGCCTGTGCTACCTTCCTTAAGAATAAYTTATTCCATTAAAGCTCAAATCCAGCAGAGTGCCTATGAATAGACAGATTAAATGCATCGAGCACAGATGCAGTAGAAAAGGTATAGYACCCCAACATATTGCAAATTACAACATGTAGCACTGGATTTTTCTCATTAACACACAGGTAAATTCATAGCTGAAATTTTGGAATTGACTAGGAATAAGCACGAATRTAAGTTTTAGTCCTAGCAACTAGCTTCAATGAAGAAATAAATTCCTGGCCCTCACAACACTATAAAAGATGAGTACAACCATGTTCGAGATTATTTTACAAAAATACTGGAGAGAGAGAGAACTTTGTGAGAGCTTTCCCTTCCTGTGCATAGTTCTGCTTTATGTAAATATCTGCATCCCTTAAGCCTTGGCAGCATTACCTGTCTTCTCCAGATTTCCTGCCATGGCCAACACCACGAAACAACTACATTAGAAGTATTCAGTCCTTTCAGCATMCCTTCCTTTATCCTGAACAAAGGACCTTAAAGCAGTACATGCTAGGATGTCTGGTTACACTTGTTTCTAAGCATTACACCTCTAAAGGAGCAGTACCTCTGAGAGCAATGTTTTATGGATCTAGCACAACAAAGCCAATGAAGACCCACACAGCATGGAACACACCAGGTTCTGCAATTTTAACAACGGCTCTTATTAAAAATGCTAGCAGAGACAGAGCCTTCACCTAAGGAACAGGTGTTTAGGCTTCTTTCCATTATAACATTTTAGCACCTGCTGGAAGTTTTGGGGGTTTTTTAGCACCCAGCAGGGCAGGGTGGGGAACCTGTTTTTCCCTTCATTGCTTCAAAGAGATTGTGTATCATGGGATATCTCAAGCTGGAAGGGACCCATAAGATTCATTGAGTCCATCTTCCTGCTCTCTGCAGGCATCCAAAAACTGCACCACATGACTAAGTGCCATTCAGATGCTTCTTGAACTCTGACAGGCTTAGTGCCATGGCCACTTCCCTGGGGTGCCTGACCACTCCCTCAACAAAGAACCTTTTTCTAAAGTATCATAGCTGATGTCAAACATGAAAGTGTTTGTCACCTCTGAGGAGTTACAACAGGCTCTTAATAAACGTCCTTCTCCCTGGAAGTGGCAGGAGTTGAACTGCAGGCAGAACAGTTTGTTAGTGCACCAACAGCTGTAGGATGTCATCTATCAGGTAACTTTTTCCCAAGTCTGCTTTTAAAAGCTCTCCTATATGTGTGAGCTTTTGGAGGGTAAGCAAAAGAACCAAGAGCTGTCATTTCAAGTGGAATGGTCTGCGGGAATTTTATCACCTAATCATGAGTTATCATTTACAAGGAATGTGCTCAGGTTATTTTAGTGTTTCTATTGTGGTTAAAGCTTTCAGTGTGGGTTCATTGATGCTATGGGACTCTTGATCTCCGAAACTGTTTAGCTCAAAGGCAAGTTCTTTTCTTAGCTTTCATAGACACCGAACAATCTGGAAAGCAACCTGCTTGCTGAATACTCTGCTTTGTTTGGACATATTGGGAAGAATTTTCCAACCACCTCTTTCTATGCAGTCCACAGTTTATCTTGGGAAAGGAATAACACGATCAGTATGCAACACCTTTGTGCTTTGGGCTTTTGCTGGAATGGTCTTTCTCATTAAATAGAAGAGTTTCTCTTTTTTGTCTTTTGAMAAAAAATGTTTGATTCATTTTTATGATGATTGAACATGGCTTTGTTCAGATATTTTGTGTCATCTACATTCAGAATGTCTCCTTTGTGTATCAGTTTTCTTCCTACTGATTCATGCTCCACCTTCATCTCACTACATGAGTCATCTTCTATACTATTTGCAGCACTTAACACTTCTGGCAGTGAGGCCTGACTTCTAGAGTTATTTATGGCAATAAAAGGCTGAGGATAACTCAGGAAACTTGTAACAGGATAGTGATTACTTCAACTCTAGGTCTCGGTGTGGGTTTAACACTGCTAAAYCTCATACAGAAAATGGCAGAATTCAGCCTCCTGGCTAATCACATAATCACCACATCCTTCCAGCCCTCAGCAGCAGGGCTGTAGGACTGGGCTGCTCATTTATATGCAGTAGAGACCAGTATTATGATTACGAAGCTTTAACAAAAYCTTTCTTAAATCTCTTCAGCAGTAATGAAGTAACTTCTCTAAATCCTTAGAACCTCATTACCAAATCCCCATATCTGCTGGGTGTACAGCCACATTGCAAGCTTCACAGACATATCCCTGACCAGCAAAAGGGAATTCACRCTGCAGACAGCACGTCCTCGTGAGTGAGCACTGAGGTTATTAGCACATCATGACTTCTAGGCTTCCACTGGTATTGCAGGCCTTCACCTCCATGCATGAAAGAAAAGCAGRAGGCAAGCAGCAAAGTGTCACCCCAAAAACAAAATACACTCTGCTGAAAGCTTTTAATATCTCTATAGGGAGATGCCCTGAAAAAGACACTGAAGAAATCCCCAGCTAGGCTGGAAAAAATTCAATTTGGAAATGAGGAAGTAGGTGATTTTACAGCGAGGGACATGAAGCCTTCTGCTGAAGCAAAGAAACAGGTCATCTGATTCTTATGTATTCTTCCAGTGTTTCCTTTATCACCTGAAACCCTCTATTTTTTTATAAATCAAGCTAATGCACAGCTAATGTACAACCTACTACCAAAACCTGATTAACTACAGTACAGCAGGTCTTATATTCATCTCTTGTTGCAAGTCCAGGTTTATTTTTGCTGAAAGACTGGAAGATTACTCTAAAAATATTCACAAGACCAGAAACTTCTGGAGCACTCTTTTTTTGTTCCTATAGCAAAAGATGCATAGTCCATGGACACCAGAATAAATTTAATATATTCAGTGATAACTGGAGTAACCTTCTGATCACATTTGGATAGAAAGACAGGAAGAACTGCTGCTGCATGTTTTTGACACATACCTACTTTCATCCCTCATTACAAAGCATTGCCTGTTTTGTTGTTTTATTTTAGGTTAGGGAAGAGGAACTGAACAAAATGCCACAACACATCGGGTTTTTTTTCCCTCACTTCCCTCCCAGTTGATGAGAAACTGCTCATCAAACTACAAGGAAACAGAGTGAAAAGGACTGCCCAGATTTCAAAAGTCAAGGAGACACCCTCAGCCSTCACCTTTAGATGCTGAGCCAGGCATGCTGCTGAAGAAAATAACTGCAGTAGACACCACAAACAATTACACTGAGGGCTGTGTCACCGAGTCTTGATAACTTACAGCTGCATCAATGAATCAATCTGGATCTGTCCTGCAAATGTGAAGAACTCCTCTGTTCCCTGCAAACACTTTTTTTGAGGGCATAAGTAAACAATTTATCAYGGGGCACAGCTGAGTCTTGCTGCTACCTATCTCACCTGGGAGAAGTGTAACAACACACTAATTAGAACAGTGTAACTACACACTAATTAGAAGAAATAAGTGAGAAGAACTAGAAAGAGGCAAATTACTAACAAGCCAGTCACCAAATTCAAGCACACACACATTATCATGATTCTATCAAATTTAATTTACTATTATTATATTATTAAATTTTTCTAACTTCTTTAATGGCTCCATGAAAAGATTCCCTTTCCCTAGGGATCAGGAGGTTGGAAACACATTATATACACACAGGAAGATGCAAGAGCAGGAGCACACAGGAAAGCTGAGACGCTAAGAAATTTAACTTAATTGTGCAGAGATGGTGGCAGAGAGGTGAGACCTTCAGACAGTAAGGTTAACAAGTCCCCAAGAACATCTGTCTGGCATGCATTGAGCAYATGAGGGAAAGAGAGAACAAATACCCAAATTGTAATGGAGAAAACAAATAATGGGCTGAGATATACAAAGCACAGAAGAGTTGGAAAGAAATTGCTGTTTCTGTTACAAAGTTGTGTGTCTGGTCAGTCTCTTGACTGTGGAATCCTCCATGCCCTGCCTTCAATGGGCACAAAACATTTACCACAACCAGCTCTTCCAAAAAACAAGTAAAGCAATTGTGCCATTTGCAGTCTCCCTACTAACAGCCCTATCACAACCTCTTGCTCCATCCCCGCTTCCATCTGGGCCACTGTCTCTGCCCACCTTCCTTCCTCACCAATCCCACACCATGCTCACCTCTGCTCCTAGCCTGGCTTTTTACTTTCTTACCTCCAGCTACAGATGACACGTTCTTCCTTTCCTCTTTCCCAGCCAAGGAAATGCAGCTGCAGCTCTTCTCTCAAATCACAGGCCAAGCACTGCAGAACAGATTAAAGGGTAGCCCCTATTTTTACAGCTTTATGGCAGYTCTCCTATCACTCTCAGGAATAAAAAAAGCTTTCCTGCTTTCTCTTCTCTTGACAGAATTGTACTAAATCACTAAGGGGAGGAGCAAGAGATCATCTTGTTTCCTAAGCAGCTGGGATCCCACCTGAAAAACTGAGAAAGGCAGCCCATTAGATAGGGCCTACTCTTTCAGCCCACCTCCAAGTCTGGTCCAATTGTCATGTTTGGCAAAAGAATTCTGTTAGCAATAGGGAAGAAAACATGAAAATCGCCCTGTGTTGCCTGAAAAGAACAATGGAGAAAACAGGAAAAAGAGGAAAAAAAATCCCTTAGAAAATAGAGAAACCTTACTCAGCTGGTTCAAAATTCTCCAACAGCCTGATAAATAGGAAAAATAAGAGATCTGAGGGTACATTCTCACTACACAATTAACCCAARCTGTTCCCTGAATTCTGTTTCTTAACTACTTTTAGCCAAGGCTACGTGGCCAAGTGTGGAATAAAAACTGGTGTATGCATATATATAGACTGCCCCAACAAGTCAATTTTCCTGCCTTGGCAGTGAAGTTACTCAAGATCTCATAGTCTCCCAATGCCTTTTCATGATTTCAGAAGGGCAAATGATCATCTGTCTGAAGCCAATGCCATTTCTTCCACTATTTCCTGGGAAAGAATTTTAGCTCCCTGCAGCACAAAGCCYGATAAACCCCTGATGACAGAAAAGCACAGCATCAGGAAAGGTGCCTTTCTGTGACAGGACCACTCGTGGRTCTGCCTGGCTCATCTATGTGTCACACAAGATTGTTAATCTCTCAAATCAATTATGCAGCAAAGATATCCTGAAAAAAGCAACAAGAAACAAGAGGACCTTTGCAAGTGCAGGACTAATAACAGTCTGCCTCAGGAAAACTTCCAGGAGTCAAGRTTTGAGATGAAGATGTAGCACGGTGTAGTTTGACTCGTGGGCTGAGAAGTGATGCTGTCTAGCTTGTCAGCTTTRCTTGGGGAGGGCACAAATCTGTTTCAGAAGCGAAACATGCCATTTTTTTTCCTGTGCACATCCYAGAACTTAAGCCCAAAGCAGGTAACTTTTCATATCCACCTTTTTGGGGCAGGGTGGGTGTTAAAGGTGGGTACCCAGGTACAGCGTACAGGGATTGTTGTATTTTCTGCCTGACCCCATTAGACCAGGAGAGTAATTCTGAGTTCTGAGTCTTTCTAGAATGCTTTTTGGAAGAGGCTGAACACTGGAAACAGTGGAAGGCAACTTCAGAAAAAAATGCATGGATTTCTCCTTTTACAATGTTCGTAACAACTTTAATTATTACCTCTATTAGGAGGATCTGCTGAAACTCACAGTTTCATACTTCTTGATGCATAAGTTTATGAGTTTCTTCCTGCAATAGAAGATAAAACTCTTGGMTGAGTACCAAATTTAAATGTTTTCTGAATTTGGAAATAATTTAAAAATAAAGACAAAAATCTCTCTGTTGAGTAAACTAATTTTTGTGTTATTAATAGAGAAGCAGTTAAAGCCTGCCTTACTGAACTGTGTATTTAACTGAACACTGATCTAATTCCCACTGAAAATCATCCATGTCTTTCCATTACCTTCAGTGGTGTTGGACTTGTCTCTTCATGCCTTAACAGCTAAGCTACGGAGAGCTAAGTTACATTACTGAGCAAAGAAACAGCTTGCTGTTTTGACTTAGCTCAAAGGAACAGTATATTGTGAATATTCCTGTGTATAAAATTGATAAACACTGAGGTCCAGCTGACAACTGCAGAGCTCCAAACCATGGCTAACTGCACAAAAAAAAGCAGGACAGTGAATTGGTGCCAGATGTCTGCTTTTTAAATGCCTTGGAGTATTAAATTTTCTCCTGTTTGACTGCTGGTTCTCTTACCAAAGCCCTCAGGGCAGTTCAACAGCTCTCATGACTAAGCACCACCAACGTGTCACAGTCACATTTGCACTGCTCCCTGTCCCTTGACAGGTTGAAAAGGCACCAGCTAAGCAACACCATAGCAACTATACAAGACAGCACTGGTTTCCCTGTCCGTGGTGATCTCTCTCTGCTAGCCATGAGTGGAGAGAGACACACAATTCCAGGCACGGGTGACTCGAGCAAACATGCCTTTTCTCCCATGCCAGGGCTGAGATGGGAGAGGAGGCACAAGAGCCTCCAGGRGCTTGCCCTCCTCACACACAATCAYCATGGACCTGCTTCCACAGGAGTAATTTGCCTGAATTTACTGCCCGGAGCTTCACCAGAGGGCAGCCAGCTTTCTGAGCCTGAACTCGAACTGGCTGAACAGCCAGGGGAGCAGAGTCGGAGCKACAGATATTTGACCGTGGCAGCATCAGCATCGTCGGTGCTCAGCAGCCGTGCGGGCCGGAGGATTCCTCCCCCTGTTGCTTGGGGACAAACCCTCAGTCTCCGCTCTAAAGCACGGGCGCCCTGTGAGAGGCAGCGAGCTCTTACCTCAGGTAAAGTGTGTGGGGAGGCCTTGTGGAGCCTCCTGCTTTCATGACGAAGAAATGGTCGGTGCACGATGCTGCAACTCCTCTGAGCACAGGGTTGAGTGCAACTCGATGCTCCTGTCCTGGGATTTTCCCCGGAATTCCAGCACGAAGCGCCCCCAGCAGGGGTCACCCTGCCCCACGGARCTCTCCCGGCGCCGCTCCCCGCCCCAGCACGGCCCCTGGGCAGGTCAGGTGTTTACTCCTGTCTTTTTTTTTTTTTCCTTCTTTTTTTTTCCCCTGAGTTTCTGAACAGGAAGGGAGAATGTTCCGTGCGTGCTGTATTTATGCCGCCGTCCCTTTTAAGTCAGTTTCCTAAGATACCCAGCTACAAGAAAGATGTGAATAACTATTCGTTCATGCTGTCACCAGGAAGAAAAACGGGGGAAAAAATAGAGTTCCAAGAATACAGAAAGACAAGTTCAAGGGAAGTAGAATTATGCATGTACCATCAATATGCTTTTTCTCTTACCCCAAAGAGAGTAATGAAGCAATGCCAGCCATCTTCCCCAGAGCTTTTTCCTACACGAGTCACCTCTATTGAAGGGAAGTGCTCTGTGTGATGCTGAAATYAACAGTTCAAAGGAAGGGAAAGAAATACTCAAAATAATGAGTGGATATGGGGCCTGTTTTGCTTTTATGGGGGGTTGCATCTGTCTGAAGGAAAGGCAATAGCCTGGATTCTGTGCTGGTGTGAGCTCACAGGGTCAGGCCCCTTTACCTGAGGCTGACACTCRTGTTTGTCCATCGAGCTCATTCCTGGGCAGGTGCAGGTGCTGCTGGAGGTCCCTGTGGGATAKGGTAAGAGCTCCTCCCTTCATGAGTCTGTTTCTTCTCCATTCACATTGATTTTTCTCTTTCTCTTCCCTTCGTCATTTTGTTCATCTGTTCCTCTGATACTATTCCTTATGACCCAGTTTGCCTTCTCTCCAGCATGCACAGGAGTCACTAGGTGGCTTCCTGTCCTTTCTGCACTGCAGTTCTTAATACACTGAAGAAGAATGTTCCATTTAAAATATATGTTCTTGCTGSTGGACCACCAGAATCCTCCCATTTCAAAACAATGTCTGAACAGCTGGGACAAGCWTTTTTCTCACTAAAAGCAAGACATRGTTGACCACTATGCCCTACATCTTCAGGGAGACACAAAATACAYACCTAGACCAAATTCTCAAATAAGCCGCATATATTTGATAGACAGGAGTAGCTGGCAGGAACTGAGATATTTCCAATTTTGAAGCACTTGAACTCAACATCCAAATGATTTTATGTTGCATAAGTCTGTTTTATAAACAGCCTGTAGTGCTGAGACAGTGTGCTGCAGCAGCTCTTGGGAGCTCTCTCTTGTGAAGCTGCACTGTTTCCTAAATTACTCTGTTCTCGCTTTAGTATTATCCAGAATGATGAAACTAAATTTGTTCCTTAGAGCTTTGTGTTAGCTGCCAGCCTCTGTCGGTGCRCTTCAGACCAAGCCAAAATACTGAACGGTGGGGGCACAATGGTGCTACACAATGCCATGCTTTGGC